CTTGAAAGGAAAACAACAATCTAGATACCCAACAATGTCATATTCTAATGTCCAGCATTCCATAAAAATTTATTTAGCCATGGGTATAGCAAGAAAATTTGAAGTCATAAACTGGAGAAAAGCCAGGTCATAATGAATCCTGTTGAGGCCGGGCGCGGTGGCTCAAGCTTGTAATCCAGCACCTTTGGGAGGCCGAGACGGGTTGGATTACGAGGTCAGGAGATCGAAGGACCATCCGCCTGGGGGCTAAACCGTTGAACCCATCTCTATAAAAAATACAAAACTAAGACCGGGCGTAGTGGCGGGCTGTTCCAGGGCCTACTCGGAGAGGCTGAGCCGGGAATGGCGTGAACGGTAGGCGGAGCTTGCAGTGAGCTGAGATCGGCCACTGCACTCCAGGCCCGGGTGACGGAGCGGAGGACTCCGTCTCAAAAAAAAAAAAAGAAGTCCTGTTGAAGCTGGAGCATGGTGGAACTCCCCTGTAATCAGCCACTTTGGGGGCTGAGGTGGGTGGAATTCACTGGTTAGGAGTTTCGGAACATCCTGGCAACATGTAAAACCCTATCTTACTAAAAACACAAAAATTACCCAGACATGGTGGTGTATGCCTATATCCCAGGCACTCGGAGCTGAGGCACGAGAACTCGGCTTGAACCGGGGAGCGGGAGGTTGCAGGTGAGCTGGATTGTGCCACTGCACTCGCTTTGGAGACAGAGTGCATCTTCTCAAAAAAAAGAAGCCCTGTTTGCAATTCATGGGCAAAGGAAAGGTGTCTTTTGGTATTGAGTTTTTCCATGGATAGGATGTAGAGGTACCATGAAAAATATTTAACATTAAAAGAGTCTTCAAAAAGCAAAGAGGAAGCAGGGGTGTAGAGGCAGCAGAAAACCAAGTGCACATTTAGATGGCCAAATTAGGTGCAAGTGTTGGCAGGCCTGGGAGTTAACACCAAAACTAGACCCAGACATGTCCAGTTCCATATCACTAAGGGTTCAAGGCCTGGGTGAAGGGAACAGGACATTATGAGCACAGCACAGAGGGTAGATTGCAAAGGAGGAGGCACAAATGTCCAGGCATCCAAGAGTGACAGGGATCATTTTTGCCTTAGGAATGTAAAAGGACTTCATGGAATGAAATTTTTTTTTGAGATAGGTCTCACTCTGTCACTTCAGGCTGGAGGCAGTGGTGCATCTTGGCTTCACACAACCTCACCTCCGGGTTCCAAGCAAATTTTCTGCTTAGCTCGCAGTAGTTGGGACTAAAGGCATGTGGCCATCACACCTGGACTAATTTTGTTTTTTTAGGTAGAGACAAAGGTTTTACCATGTTGGCCAGGCTGGTCTCCAACTCCTGGCCCTTCAGGTGATCTGCCTGCCTCGACCTCCCAAAGTGCTGGAATTACAGGCATGAGCCACTGCACCTGGCCAGCAAATTTCTTTTGCACTGGGCTTTTAAAGATGATTGAGAAATAAAGAAAATAATTTTAAAATCACCGTTAAAGTCATTTATTACCCAAATGTGATCACTGTTGGTGTTCTGGTAAATTCCTTCTGTCTGAATTATCTTATGTTTTCCCAAGTGGAGCTCCATCTCCTTAATTCTGTTTTGCATTTTTCAGTTAACATTATTTCAAAAAGCATTTTCTGAAAATTCTTTGTAGCAGCTATTTTTAACAGCTGTGAAATATTAACTGTCTGTGACATAATCCAAGTAACTGATTCTCTGTTGTTGGGCATTTAGATTATTTTCAAGTTCTAACTAATCCTGCAACAAGCCTCTTGTTCTCCCCTGTTCTGGTTACTCTCTTAAATTGGATTCCCAGAAATGGGATAATTGTTTCCAAACGTATTTGGGAACACCTGGGAAGTTCCTGATCTGTATTGCCAAATGACTTTTCTAGAAAAGTGGAGTGTACAAATTTACACTCCCACTACACGTACTCTCTTATGTTGTAATACATGTTTACATGCTTTTTTCCCCACAAATTACGCCCTATCCACCTTCCTGTCCCCGGTGCCTGCACAGGCAGCTGCCCAGCGGCGTCCCTTTCATCACACATACCCCTACTTGCACCATACGTGACGGTACTTTCACAGAGAAGGAATATCCAGGGTCAGGGGGAACATCCCTGACAGACACTCCAGGAACCAAGACGTGGACAAGTGTGGATGGACACGTGGGTCTCTGGACTCTTTCTAGAACACCTGGCGTGGAGATGAGATGGCCGTCAGAGACTTGTCTGTTCTGCTTTCTCGCTTGGTGGCTGAGATGCTGAGATCTAGGTGGGGCAAGCGGGTTCCACACGGCACAGTTCGTCCACGTCAGCGCAGTGCCTGCTTCTCGGGGTATAGCCAAGCCGGGGTCTTGCAGCCTCAGCTCCCAGCAGGACCTGCCCAGCCAGGGTCCTCAACCCTAGGCTGACATCTTGGCCTCACTGGAGTCACAGCTCAGCCCTCACCCTGTGACTCTGTGCATGTAAGGGCTGGGAGATAACAGCTGGAGGCCAGACCTCCTAAGAGGAAGGAAAACAATGTGAATGTCGGGGAGGCAGGGTTTACCCTCCTTTTGTTCAGTGAGAGTTTCCTCTTCTCACAATGCAGGGAGGACCTCAATATGGCTGTCTCCCCTTTTAGAGACACTGTGTCCCAGCGAAGGGGCAGCCACAACAGGAATTCTCAACCTTCCAGGACAACGGGTGGCCACTGAGAAGCCGGGAGACCAGGGCCAGTGTCTCGGGGTTTCCTCAGCTGCTCTACCTGCAAACTGGAGCTGGCAGGACTGCCTCTCGAGGCTGCTGTGAGCGTCCAGTTAGACCACGTGGGTGGGCGAGGGGCTTGTGCCTTGCCCCAAGCAGGGAGCTCAATGCACACCTTTATATAGGACATATTCAAGGAGGCCAAGCTCACCAGGCCACACTGCAAGGCCTATTTTGGCGGGGGGGGGGGGGGGGGGTGGGTTGGGGGACAGGGTCTCACTCTGTCACTCAAGCTGGAGTGCACTTACAGCCCCAACTTCCTGGGCTCAAGCAATCCTCCCACCTCCCGAGTAGCTGGGACTGTAGGCGTGCTCCACCATGCCTGGCTAATTTTTTTAATTTTTGTAGAGACAGGCTGTCATCGCTGTGTTCCCCAGGCTGGTCTCAAACTCCTGGCCTCAAGTGGTCCCCCAACCTTGGCCTCCTTAAATCCTGGGATTCCAGGGATGAGCCACCCCACCCAGCTGGAAGACTGCTGCCTTGATGGCCCCCAGTGAATCCTTCGCTATTGATGATCTTCTGTAGTCCCCCCTCACCAAATCTGGACAGGCCTTGAGACCCGTTTGGCAGATAGAGTGTAGGGGAGCCTGGCAGCTTCCTGGTCTCTGGGAAGCTGCCCCGTTGTGGGGAGGTGAGGCCATCCTACTGGAGGGAAAAGCCACACACAGCTGCAAGAGTGACCTTCCTCAATACCATATGGGGCAGAAGAACCACCCCAGTGACACACAGACTCGTGAGGAGGAATCAATCACCCTCATCTTAAGGTACTAAGGTTTTTTTTTTTTGAGTCTCACTCTGCCGCCCAGGCTGGAATGCAGCGGCACAATCTCGGCTCGCTGCAACCTCTGCCTTCTGGGTTCAAGCCCTTCTCCTGCCTCAGCCTCCCGAGTAGCTGGGATTACAGGCACCCACCACCATGCCCAGCTAATTTTTGTATTTTTAGTAGAGACGGGGTTTCACCATGTTGGCCAGGCTGGTCTTGAACTCCTGACCTCAGGCTATCCACCCGCCTCAGCCTCCCAAAGTGCTGGGGTTATAGGCATGAGCCACCGCTCCTGGCTAAGCCACTAAGTTTTGAGGTGGGCTGCTACTTAGTAATAGATACCTGAACCTCCTTCCTCCCCATCCCAGCCTTCTCCTCTGGGGCTTCTCCTGTGGTGTGCTGGTAAATGTTTAACAAGCAGCTCTCTGCAGGGGACTGAGGGGGGCTGATGTGAAGCGTTTGTCAACATCTGTGGTGTAAATATTCTCATGGCTGATTTCAAGCTGCCAACATGACATGGCTGAACACGAGATTGAGAAGAAACGTGCACCATCTGTCCAGGAGCCGGCGAGCTGGATCCAGCACACCTGCGTTCTCCTCCCCTGACATGTGACAACCCTGCAGAGATCTGAGATCAGCAGCTCAGATTAGGTGAGCAGATGCATTTTGTCACAGAGACACAGAGTTCTGGGCTGGGCCTTATCTTCAGGGCATCTGGTAGGATGGAAAGGACTTCAAGCCGTGTGCCAAGCCCATGTCCTATTCTCTGGGCCTGTTCCTTTCCCTTGAAGTGCTGGAGGCAGAGCTTGCAGCTGAAGAGCTACAGCCGGCTCTCCCTCATGTCCGGGCATGAGCGGTCTGTGGAGGCAGCAGCCAGGCTGTGTCCAGGTACCCTGACGGCCACTGCGCATGAGCAGTGTCAGGTAGAGGGAGTTCTGAGCACCCATCTGCTCAGCCCCAGACTCCATCAGAGGCGGTGGAATGGGCCCTGAGGACGCCGCAGTCCCGGGCCTTAGGGGCAGGCCTTCCAGGTGAAGCCCTGAGGACCAGGTAGCCCTGCTCAGCAGTCCCGGACCCCACCTCAGCAGCCCCAGGAAGCCAAGGAGATGAGGGACCAACTCAGGAAATGGTGGGTGAGGCTGGTGGCGCCTGGAAACACCGGTCACCAGGGCGGCAGCACCGGTCCTCACCCCTCCCTGCCAGGACTCCAGCAGCTCTCAGCCCCTAGGCATGATAGTTAGTTTCTTGGGTCAACCAAATAGTCATTTAGGGGTTGCTGTGAAGGTATTCTGTCGGTGTATCACATCTGCAGTCAGCTGACAGGAGTGAAAGGCCATTACTCTCAATCATGTGGCGGGGATGCGGGTGGGAAGCCTTGTGCAACCAGTGACATACCTTACAAGCAGAGCTGGGGTTTCCTTGAGGACAAAGAGATTTTGCCCGTGGACTATAGCATCACCTGCTGCCCGAGAGGCCCAGGTGCTGCCTGCGCTATGGATTTCCGCCTCGCTCAGCCAGCCCCCACTTTGTCTGAGCCAATTTTTAACAATAAATCTCTCCCTCCCTCCCTCCCTTCCTTTCTCTGTCTCGTCCCCTCCAGGCATATGTAATATCTCTTATGTGTCTCATAAAGAGAGAGATTTATTGCAAGGAATTGGCTATACAACACACGTACATGCATATCCACGTGTAAACATGTGCACACACACACCACACACACGCACACACACCACACCCCTATCCTGCAGGTTCCTTTCTCTGCTGGGACCCTGCCTGCTCCACCAGGGGTGCTGAGCCCCTGTGTCACCAGTGGAGCCCTCAGCAGCACAAGGCCCCAGGCATAGCCCCTCAGCTCCCTGCCCTCGACCGTGGCTTCAGGGGTGGAGCAGGACCTCAGGGGTGCAAAGACCAGCTCCACGGTTCCTATGGGGTGTGTTGTGGGAACACTTATCTTCATGAACATGTGAACCGTGCCCCCAGTCCTTTCTGTTTCCTTGGGGGAGGCCTTGGCTTCTGGAGCCCAGAGTGGGCAAGTTCCCGGACCTCCTGTGCAGGCTGCCCCGCCTGGCTCTCTCTGGCTGTGGGTCCAGGGCCTCCATCCCGAGTCGGGGCAGGGAGCCTTGAGACTTGGGGAGGAAAGGGGAGATGCTGGGAGCTGGGAGAGCGTGCACCCCCAAAACCAGGGGCCTGTGGGCTGTGGCCCAGGAGGAAGGGCAGAGGGCTTGGGAGGGCTGGAACGGTCCTGCAGCAGAGTCATGGTGACACCAACTGGCTGGTTTGGGGGCAGATAGACAGGCCACGGGGGTGAAGTGGCAGAAAGGGTACCCTTTCCGCCCGGCCATCTTGGCAGATGCTGAGAGGGTGTGGCTTTGAATTTCAAGAGCCCTGATGGTGAGACCCCAGCAAAGGTCTCGTGGGGACTGGGGCTCTAAGGCTTAGACACTCAGGCTTCTACAGACTTTGTGACCTGGGTTGCCTGGTTCCAGGGTCCCCCACCACGAAAGGGAGGGCTCTTGCAGGACCGGCTTTGTCCCTGAGTATTGAGACACAGGGTCTGGGAGAGGACCTCAGAGCCAGGCACTCGGTGTAGTCACAGTGTGGGGATTCTGCTGCTGTTGCTCTATTCTCAAAAATTCATTTTATTGTAGTTCTGATCCCAGGCTGCTGTTGGGCAGTGAGCAAATGGCACCGGATTCAGAATCGGACAAACCTGGGTTCGAGTCCAATCCGCCTCTCAAGCTGTGTGGTCTTTAGCAAGTCACTTCTTCCCCTTGGGCCTCAGTTTCCTCATTTGCCATCTCACCCTTCACAGCATTGATGTTTGGATTAATGGGATGAGGCAGGTGAAAGCACTGTAAATGGCACCCAGGCATTTGGAGCTTTCATGGGACAGTTGAAACGCAGGTGAAATGGAAGTCAGTGTCCTGTTGTCCTCCGACCTTACATTATTAAAGAGAATTGGGCTGGATGCAGTGGCTCACAGCTCTAACCCCAGCACTTTGGGAGGCCGAGGTGGGCAGATGACTTGAGGTCAGGAGTTTGAGACCAGCTCGGCCAACGTGGTGAAATCCCGTCTCTACCACAAATAAAAAATTAGTCGGATGTGATGGGTGCATGCCTATAATCCCAGCTACTCAGAGGCGGAGGCAGGAGAATCCCTTGAACCCGGGAGGTGGAGGTTGTAGTGAGCTGAGAATGAGCCACTGCACTCTAGATTGGGTGACAGAGCAAGACCCTGTCTTCAAAAAAATAAAAATTTTTTTTGGCCGGGCGCGGTGGCTCAAGCCTGTAATCCCAGCACTTTGGGAGGCCGAGACGGGCGGATCACAAGGTCAGGAGATCGAGACCATCCTGGCAAACACGGTGAAACCCCGTCTCTACTAAAAATACATTTTAAAAAACTAGCCGGGCGAGGTGGCGGGCGCCTGTAGTCCCAGCTACTCGGGAGGCTGAGGCAGGAGAATGGCGTGAACCCGGGAGGCGGAGCTTGCAGTGAGCTGAGATCCCGCCACTGCACTCCAGCCTGGGCGACAGAGCGAGACTCTGTCTCAAAAAAAAAAAAAAAAACATGACAGGTGGGTCACAGGAACACATATGGGCTGGCTTTGACATTTGCCATTAAAAACATGATCCTGATGAACAACCCAACAAAAGCAAATTGGCAAAAGAATCCATCAGACACTTCACAAAGGAAGATACTGTATACAGAAGGCCACAATCAGCATGTAAAAAGCGTTCCACTTTATTAGTCGTCAGGGAAATACAAATGAAACCCACAATCATAAGCCACTTCGGCCCCCCGGGACAGTGAAAATGACAGCCTGGTGCAGCAACGTCACGTGCTGGTGAGGAGTGGGGCAGCCGAGGCTCTTGCATGCCGCCATTGGGAGTGCAAGATGGTGGAGCTGCTGTGAAACACCAGTTTGGCGGCTTCTTCTAAAATTAAGAATGGCCCAGCAATTCCGCGCCTATGTTTTACCCAAGACACATGAAAGCGTATGTCCACACAAAGAGTTGAACATGAATCTTCATGGCAGCTTTACTCCCAAACATCAAAAACCAGAAGCAAGCCAAGTGTGCACAAACAGATGAATGGATAAACAAAGGCAGCATCAGGCAGGCCACGATGTGGTTGGTGCATGGGCCCATGGGAGTGTTACAGGAGCCCCTGCTTACCAGGCCCCTGGTTTAACAAAACAGCACTAGAGTAAGTGCACTGGGCGCAGTGGCTGACGCCTGTAACCCCAGCACGTTGGGAGGCCGAGGCAGGAGGACTGCTTGAGTTCAGGAGTTTGAGACCAGTCCTGACAACATAATCTCTATGCACACACAAAAATTAGCCAGGCATGGTGGCATGCACCTGTAGTCCCAGCTACTTGAGGGGCTGAGGTGGGAGGATCGCTTGAGCCTGGACGCTCTGTGCCACTGCAGTCAAAACTGGGCAACACAGCAAGACCTTGATTAAAAAAAAAAAAACTCAAAAAACAAAAAAACAACTGTGGTACATCCCTACAGTACTATTCAGCAAGACCACATAAACATAAAACAAGAAAGACAGAATTACTGGTACATCCATCAACATGGATTCATCTCAAAAACATGATGTTGAGCAATGCCCCCCACAAAAAAGAAAAATAAATAATAAACAGACACAGAAGAGTACGAATTGTATAATTCTGTTTCTATGACCTTCTATAATGACAAAAGAGCAGGTTTGTGGTTGCCAGTAATTCCAGGGGAGAATTCACTGCAAAGGGGCACAAGAAACAGGATGAAAATGTTCTGGGCCAGGCCGGGCGCGGTGGCTCACGCCTGTAATCCCAGCACTTTGGGAGGCTGAGCGGGCGGATCACAAGGTCAGGAGATTGAGACCATCCTGGCTAACATGGTGAAAGACCGTCTCTACTAAAAATACGAAAACAAAATTAGCCGGGTGTGTTGGCAGGAGCCTGTAGTCCCAGCTACTTGGGAGGCTGAGGCAGGAGAATGTCATAAACCCGGGAGGCGGAACTTGCAGTGAGCTGAGATCGAGCCACTGCACTCCAGCCTGTACGACAATGAGACTCCGTCTCAAAAAATAAAAATAAAAATAAAAAAAGGAAAATGTTCTGGGCCGTGAATACGGTGGCAGTGTCACAGCTGTGGATGGCTGTCAACACTCACTGAACTGTCCACTCTAATTGAATGTAGCCTCTTGAGCATGATTTATATCTTCATAACGCTGGTTTTCTAAGCATGATAGCTGAAAGGATGGTGCCAGCCTCCACTCCCTTTCCCAGTGGGAACCATAGCCTTTCCCAAGACGTGCTTATGGTTTCCCAGGGGGTGCTCCTGTGGCTGGAAAAGAGGTTCCCAATCCAGACCCCAAGAGAGGGTTCTTGGATCTTGTGTAGGAAAGAATTCAAGGTAAGTCACAGAGCACAGTGAAAGAAGCGAGTTTACTGGAAATGACTGTTAACAGAGTGGGGCATCCTCGGGAAGAGGGAGGAGGAATGCACTGTTCTTTGCTAGTGTCGCTGCTTGTAAGAAATTCTAAGGAGCCAGTGGCTCACGCCTGTAATCCCAACACTTTGGGAGGCCAAGGTGGGCGGATCACCTGAGGTCAAGAGTTCGAGACCAGCCTGACCAACATGGTGAAACCCCCTCTCTACTAAAATAAAAAATAAAATAAAAAAATTAGCCAGGCATTGTGGCGCATCCCTGTAATCCCAGCTACTCGTGAGGCTGAGGCAGGAGAATCGCTTGAACCCGCGAGATGGAGGTAAGAAACTCTAAGGAGTGGTAATGAAACTTGTAATGTGCAGATGTGCTCACTAAAGGCGGGGCTATTGGTGTTATTGACGACCATTATTATTATTTTTGAGACAGAGTCTTGCTCCGTCGCCCAGGCTGGAGTTCAGTGACGCGATCTCGGGTCACTGCAAGCTCCGCCTCCTGGGTTCACACCATTCTCCTGCCTCAGCCTCCCCAGTAGCTGGGACTACAGGCGCCCGCCACCACGCCCGGCTAATTTTTTGTATTTTTAGTAGAGACAGGGTTTCACTGTGTTAGCCAGGATGGTCTCAATCTCCTGACCTTGTGATCTGCCCACCTCCGCCTCCCAAAGTGCTGGGACTACAGGCGTGAGCCACCGCGCCCGGCCTTGACGACCATTATTAATCCTTCAACCTAAGCTTGCTCATCAATGTGATCTTGAAGTAAAGAGGGCTGTATTCTCCAGACACGTGGGCATTCTGCAGGTGTGGTGGGAGATGATATTTTGTTGTTTTAATTGGTGGTTGGCTTAGAATATGGCTATTTTCAGACCTTGAATATTCTTGTGAGTGCCTAGCTACCCACTTCAAGATGGAGTCACTCTAGTCATGTTTTATTAAACCAGGGGCCTGGTAAGCAGGGGTTCCTCTAATACCCCCATGGGCCCATGAGCCACCCTCATTGTCACCTCCTGATGCTGCCTTTGGGGAAGGCCACAGAGAAGGCTCCAAGCCCAACGAGGGGAGTCCGCTGCAGATTTCAGACCTGGCCGTATCACTGTCTCTGCTTCCCCCATGGTTTTGGCTTCAGTCT